ACTAGAAGCATGGCAGAGACTGGAAAACTATAAAGATGAAAATTGTGATGGGAAGGTCTTATAGAAATGCCAGTGCTAGCGGTAACTTGGTTACTCCAATACAATTCTGGAGTAAGACTGCTTAAAACAGTTTGGTACGGAACACACTTTGCTTAAGAAGAACTTAATGTGCACGCACTGTACTGAGATGACAAGAGAGCCCACAACAAGTTTCACCAGTCATTTTAGTGACACTTTCAGAGGTACCAATCATTTTAGTGACACTAAGAAAAAGACATTAAAAATACATACTGCTTCAGTCCACTTTTGATAATGGTGACATAATATAAAAAGGAAATAAAACTCACATGTTATTTTTATGTGCCTATTGATTTTAAACTTGAGCTTTCTAGTACAGTTTGACTGAATAGGTTTCAACTAAAGAAAAAAGGACAGTATCTTCTCCTACCCCCTCCTCTAGCACCCCTACCCCGAAAGAAAATACCCAATCAATTTAGTTCAGCCTCTTGATGTGTGTGTCAAAGCTACGTATAAATCTCAGCTGAGGAGCCAGAGCTGTCAGAACACTATATGTATCAGAGCTTTAGACTAGGTGCGTCCAAATAGCAAGATAAACCTACCGCAAGTGACAATCCAGAATAGTCATGAGACACAACATAGACAAGGAGGACATAGAAGGAAGAAATAAAAATTAAAACATCCACACACAAACATTATTAAAAACCATGGAGAAATGACCTTTTCATAATAGTACATTCTTATAATGATTTGCCTCCCATAGTAAGAATCTAATCCTCCCACTGGCCTTTGTGCAGCTGTATGCTCTACTTGAACAAGTACAAATTGCCTGTAGTGTAACAGGGTTTCAAGACTGAAAACCTAATTTCATTTTTCACCTTTCTCCTGCTTTACAGCAACTGACTTTACTCATAATCTATACTATTTCATAAACAATTTATCATTTAAAATATCAGACTAGAAGTTGTGCTCAGCAAAGTGGACTTTTTGAAGCACAAGCCATCTAACAGAAAACAAAATATTATTCTACTTTCTGCACTATCTAGCTATCATACGTGACTACTGATCTGACTGAGTCTGTGCGTCAAAAGGACCTTTAACTATGTCATGCTCTACAGCTATAAAAGGATTTGGCATGGATGCACAGGTCAGCGCTAGCGGGTCATCACATGCAAATCGTAAGTTTTCTTTGACAAACAAAACCAGACTATGATGGAAATTATACTTCTAGAGGCTGATATTTTAGATTTACCAAATGCTACTCCCTTTCAAGTTATGTGTGCTTAGGGAGCTAGGATCTTGCAAGATGCCAAGTGCCCATCAACTGTTATTGTGCGCTCTCAGCTAAAGGCAGCAGGTGATAAGCACTTGCAGGTTCAGGCCTAACAATGACTGAATTAAGCTTTTTGTTTTTTGGATGACATTCCAGATCTTTTGTACTGCATGGTGCCCTTTACAAGGGCATTAGATTTCCGTTTTGATTTTCAATTACATTTATTTTTTTACATTAAAATTGATGTCTTTAAATAGCTAAAAAGCATTCTTATTTTTCCCTTTTCTATTTTATGTGAGAGCCCTAAAGCAATTCATTTCTCATTACTGAAATATTTTATATTTAGCCTTGCATTGACTTCAGCTTAGGTATACTGCAACTTGCACTGATAAATCAAGATTAAAGTGCCCACATCAGTCATACGGAAAAAAAGACAGGAAAGACAGGCAAGATTTCTCAAATTAGGAATTAAGTTAGTAAAAGCTATTGAATGCCAAGGTGTTAAAATCACACACTATCAGACAGAGCACTACATATGAATTTAAGAGGCTAATTCAAGCAGCCTATTTTTGAAAACCCAGACAGTGGAGAGGAAGCTTGGTTGGAGAGCCTATGATGCATCCATCCACATATTAAAAATTTGACATTTACATCACCTGAGAATTTATCTCTTTAGGTGTAACAAAATCAAAAAACATTCTGATTAAATTCTAAAAATATGTGGACAAAAATATTTTAAAATAACTATGCAGATTATTTTGAATGGAATCTTCAAATAACTACATAACCTGTGCATTTCAAAGTACAGAGAAGAGATTCATGATTCATTTTTTAATTAATTTTCCCCTTAAAATTAAGTTTCTCCCTATTAATTATGTAACATAATTTTGCATTTAAAATATTTTTGTTCCTAGATTCCTTGGTCATTTATCCAGGTCCTAACAAACATAATTAAAAACACTTAATTATATATTGTAAATACAGCAATGGTCTTACATGATATGGAACAAACTCCACATACATATCAGTCAACAAATTGCACGTTATTTGTCCCACAACAAAATATTGGCTTTGTTATCATTAGTATCATTGGAAGAACATAACAAACATCACAAGGAATTTTTCCACAAATATAATCACAGTTCTTCTAAATTATTCTTGCTTCAGTGACAGGAAGTTGGCTAACAGTAACCCAAGGTAACACAACAATTGACGATCTTATTTTCCATGCATGGCTGAGGGGAAATATCTCACAATTACTTAATATTAATAACCAGAACAAAGGCTATAGATCAAATACAGGGAATCTAGGAATGCTAAATCAAGGTGCTTAAAGAAAATAGATCTGTTTCACATTCATAATAGGGAGAAAACAAAATCAGTATAAACCTTTTTTCAAGCGAGGACCCAACATTTCTACTCTGGTGTTTTCTCAGTTCAGCCTCACTGATCTTCTTAACTCTGGAACGTGACTTACCAGTGTGTCTATATTAGTGATTTAATGTGCTGGCCAGGTTCTTTTTAGGTGTGACTTTGCCTTGTGTCTATTCTTGGAGTCATGCAGCATGCGCTCCAGTACGCCAGCGTTGCACATTAAGTGTCTTCCCTGCTGGTGGAGCCAAGGTTGCAGCAGCGCACCAGTGCACTATCTAGTGCGCTCCACTTGTCTGCAGATGCAAGGTTCTCCAGCTGTTCACTCTCTCTGCCTACGCAGGACTGTTAGTCATGGTATGGCAGTTTGGGATGGCTGCAGAGAAATCTGCTTTGTATTGTCTGCTAGCTGTAGAAACATGATGTGCAACTAGGACAGGCAACTGGTGTGAACTTTGTTAGTCGTAAGCATGCAATGTGTACATACGGTCTGAGAACCAAAAGGGACTGGGTGAGATCAAACCTCACTCCCTCATCACTCAGATGATGACTGTACAGGGGTCAGTATAAAATATTGACATATACAGTTTAAATGTAAAGTTAACTGACGTTCAATGCATCAACATTTCAGTAGTGGCTTCTGCAGTTAAGTAGCATGAACAGGAACAAAACAACTGGATCTGTGGTGAATTTCTTTTTCCCCTGAGCAACAACAACAACAAAATCTGTGCTCTTGGCCATTACTTGAAACTGGAAATAGCTCCGTGCCTTCAAAGCTTATCCATTACTTTCCTCCACATATCAGAGCTCCTTTCAAGGCTCTTCTCAGGTGATCCAGTTACAACCAGCCATCAGGTTCATAAGGTCTCCTTGTCATCCTTTCCTGATTTTGCTCTTCCCCTATGATGTCTTACGTGCCAGAAGAATTGCGGTAACCTGTCCTGGGCTCTTTTGGATTGACTGATAAGCCACACTGGAGGCTGCTCCATCGCTGTACAGTGGTATCCCATCACTTCTGGACTGCTCTGTGGGCCTCAGCTACTGTGATCTAGGCTTTTTGTCTTGGATGTTTTTCCTGATCAGCTGGCTCTACTCCTTGCATTCCCAGCTTTGGCTTGTGCTACTAATCAACCTGCCTCCAGCCCAGCCATCTTCATACATTAGATCCCAACCTGTGGCAGGAACTGCTTATTCCTTATCGTGTTTCATCTTCTCTCTTCTGCATTGCACTTCTCTCTATTCCTGCACTGCTCCGGCTCAACCTTACCATGGGTTTTGGAAACAAAACCTTGAGCAAATAATATCTTTAAAGTTACTGGCTCCCACTGAAAGGGTTTTTTTTTTTTAAAGCAGTAATCTAAGTTTCCTCATTATTTTTACTTGAAAATGCACCTCTGTCTTCTTAGCTTAGGAAATCTGGCAGTAAGGATAGATGGCTTAAAATTTATTTCCCCATTCTTCTACTTATTCGCAACAGTTTGTCACATGAATTCATAGCACCCTAATCATTAGGTAAGAGGACAGTAAGAAGATTTAGTCAGAAGCAGCTTTATTTTCTTCCAGGAATATGTTAATCAAGTCTCCAGCCCTGAGAATTAAGTCCTGCAACCTTCTGCTCTTCTCACATTAAGCAGACCTGATGGACAGACATATTTTTCTGCCCCTATGAAAAAGATGATGCTCAAAGGACATCATGCTAATCTTTTCTTCCACGTTATTCGGCTGACTTACTGTTAAAAGTGTGCTCTGTTATATTCAGCCTCCTCCTTTCTCCTACAAATATAATTCTCCCATCATCACTTTGCTCAATTCTCCCAAATTCTTCCTTTTTGGTTGTTTTCCCTTGTTCCTTTGATTGTCACTTTTTCAACTGTACTATTCTGTTTGTTTCTCTTTCAGCTGAATTTTTGCTCTTGTTTGAAAAGAGATTTAGAGTGCAGAGCTACTTGTTCATCATGTAAGCTCAGAAGTACTGCTAGAAATATAAACATATAAACACCATACTTGGTCCTGTTCAAAGTCCTGGGGAAAAAAAGGGCAGTAAAAATAGCTCACAGCTACATTTTTGGGACAACCAAGATACTCTCAATAAACTTGCCCTTTCCAGATGACTCCTACACATTCACTATTTTTTAGCAGAGAAGGGAAATTGGTTGACTGCTTTATCAGTGATGCCACACCCAAATTCATCTTTCGCGACACCACAGAGAAGGCACTGCCAATCAGTCTCCTCTTCACAGGGCCCCTAGAGAGGCAACAGGCAGAACCATTTGTAGACACATCAGACAGAATCCTTCAAATGCAACTTGAGAGTTAAAGAAAAGGAGAGACACTTTACCTGGTCCTTCATGGTCTTCCCTAAATCTTTAACATCTTTCATGTTAATAGCATTCTTCCCTCCCTTCTCCTTTCCCTTCTTCTTGTTCTTCTTTTTGAACAAGCATTTCTTACAGAGACAAAAGCAGCAGGTAAGGATTAATAGGACTGCAACTATGGCTATGGCTATTAAGGCCCAAGGTGGCACTGGAAGAGAAAAAGAAACACACACAAACAGAACGTGGCAAACTGTTAGTAGGGTTAAATTAAGAAATAAGCACATTTCTCTCACAGCTAAGGCTTTTTCTATGAAAATGCCTTGCAGAAATACCTTAGATTCTTTCTGAAAAGCCTCGTCAGCATTTGTATGTTTCTCCCAACCAGGCATTTGCACACACAACGCCAATTTAACACATCATGGGGGATCTATTTACATGCCTGGTGACAAACATCAAACTAAACTGCATCTATTTTGATTAATCAGCCAGCTTAAAACAATATGCCCAAAATATTTACACTGTGTGAATCTGTAAAATGCTCAGCACACTTGAGAATTTACTTGCTTCTTTTTTTAATCATCTCCACAACCCACCTGGCATTGCGGCTGAATCGGGTGGGACTGTCTGGGAACTTCCCTTTTTCAGAACTGCACGTGATCCAAGCTGTTGGTTTTAATGAACAGCCTTTCTCCTCTGCCCACTGCTGCACTTTGCAGACTCCTCATAACAGATGTAGGTCAAGGTCACCAGTAAACACCGGCCAAGGACAAAGGACGGTCCAGTCCACGGGCATTTATGCTATTAGTCATCATGGCCTACCACTAGCACAGTTTTAGCAAAGAACTACATAGTTTAGTAAATAACTAGTTTAGTAAATAGTAAAATAACCACAGTAAATATAGTAAATACAGTAAATAACTGTGTTTTCATCTAAGTTCCTGTAAAGAAAAGCGTATGTTCAGTTTATTTATTCAGTCCAGGGCTCTGGACATAGCTGAAGTACAAATAAATAATAATGAACACTAAATATGATAATATGGTCAGAATTTTAGAAGATCAGAATTTTGGAAAAAAGGAATTAAGAGGACACCTAAACGCAACTACTTCAGAGGAGAATTACCTTCATGTAAACCAACTTTAATGACCACTGCTCCCTGCATTTAACCAAAATATCTGACAGTACTTCAAATGTTATAAACTGCCATTCCCTAAAATCTCGAAATGCACTCAGTCTATCAAGCCTGCAAGATACTCTCTCAGTGCATTACCCAAAGGTCTCTAATATGATACAGAGCAAAACCGAAGAGTGAATCAAATTTGACATGTTGACGACAGTGAATCACAGAAGAGAAGGGACAGTATAAATAGAGAAAATTAATTGCTTAAAGGAGCTAAGCAGAGTGTAAAGCACTGTCACAGGAAGGTCTACTAGAAAATACTATTTCAGGAATAGGACAAAGCATCTTCATCTTCCTTGCCCTAAGTTTAATAGCCATATTTCTAACTTTTATTCAAACGTCCTTGGTGATAGATACAAAAATAATGTAGTAGAATAGTAAACAATAATTTCTGTAACACTTTTTTGCCTCCAAATGTTCATTTAAGGCAGCTGCTATAAGAGAGAAGCAGTACCATATGTAGAACAAATGAGAACTGATTACTAAACAAATGAATGTTAAAAGATAAACAGTGAACAGATTAACAGCTGTTTAAGGGAGGTATTTTATGAAGTCATCAGCAAGAGTACTGCAGCTAAAGTTGCATTCAGATCTGCACTTATCACAACTTAAAATTTCCATTTATTTCATGCATTAATGTTTTAATTTTATCTTCAAATCTGCTGTGGTAACACTTCATGGGACAACTGACTCTCCTACAAAATTTTATTTCACAGTTGCATGTTCTTTTTAAATTCTCCACTTCACTTACTTACTCTATGGCAGACACAGCCTTTTAAATTGTACTTACATAAAGTTATGCTTTCCATTTGGACTAATTTAGAGGAATCATGTCCATATGAAATGAATGATGTGCCTAAATTCACCAGCTATTTGCTTTGCTGCCTTGTCAGCAGAGCTCTAAGGGAGCATGGCGCTAAGGGAGCAGAGCAGCAGCACGAATATGGGAAGGGATTGTGCAGGCTGGGTGGCACCAGGGGAGGAAAGGAAGGGGCACATTAAGTGTCAGTAAGTTGGGATGTACACATACGCATTCTACAGATGAAAGGTGCCTGTGTGCTGAAAAAACGTTGTGTAAAGTGGTATTCTGGCACTGTTGCCTCGCTTCTCCAGAGTCTGAACAATGCAGGGTGCCCTGTGGAGCAGTTCAAACACTTGCAAGATATCTTCAGCTTCTCTTTTATGATGTGTTGCCTGTTCTCATCTATTTGTAATTTAATTTCCACCACTAGCTCTTGTGATACAATTAAATGATCATCAAATTAATATCTGAAACACCAAGAATCATGCAGAATTCCTCATTTATCTCTTCAGTGAAAATAACCTCCCTTTTCTGTTACAGAAAGCATGAGCAATAAAGGAAATTATTTTTTCAAGGGTAAACCAAAATCTGGACATTTCCATAACAGCTTCAACACTCAAGTCTGAAAAGGCAAAGCAAAAAGGAATGGATGTTTTTCCTAATAAAAGTGCACTAGCTCTGTCAAGCAGACGGCTCATCAGAATATTGCCACTGACAGAGATTGCCCAATCAAATATTGCTGGCACTCAGTGTACATGTTAGATTTAAGATGAGCGAAACATACAGATACAACAGGCTTTCAAGTGATGTTTGTTTCCTTTCAAAAGCATTATTTAAGTAATTCCAAATGGTAATAATTTTACACAATACAGACAAGATTCTCCAAAATGAGTAAAGGTTTGTAGGGTTTTCTTTCTTGTGCTTCCCAATTCATGACAGTGCCAGGGGAGATCTTGACTTCCAGAAGAAGTCAAGCTTCTAAACATTACTTTTCTGCAAAGTGCAGTGGACAGCCCAGAATGAAATGACCGAAGTCACTCGTCAGTTTTTAAAAACTCTTACCTGCAGCCTTTAATTTTCTGGCATACCAGTTGTGACCTATATCTATAAATATCTATCTTATGGATAGCTGTGAACTTTCCTGTTATTGCAGAATGGATCATTTTAAAGATGCATAACTGTTAATTACAATTACAATTTCCTACCCATATGCAAGATTTTCAAATAATTTCATTTCCCTAGTGTTCCCTACACTTTGAAGACTAACTCCATCTATCTTAAACCAGTTTGATCAGATTCAGTAGTTCAGTGTGAAACCTCAGGGGGTCTTTGGACAGAAATAATGAACAAAGGAACTCTGCAGCAGATGAAGGACAGTGGGTGACATAAAAAGCACAGACCTTAACCAAGTGATGAAGCTATCAGGGAGCCAGAAGCTTCTTGTACAACTTGTCTTACCCAGTGCCAGCACAAGGGGGTGCCTTGAAACAAGCAATGCTCACCTACGCTATCAAGGAAAAGCTATGCTTTAAGTATAATTAATACGTGTGTAAGCTTTCTGGTATGTCAGTGCTATATTCTCTGTTCTGTTCCTGTGGGCAAATAAATAATACTTATTTGGAAAAAGCTGTCATGAATCACTACATGATTCAGTGACTCTTAAAGGCTGCTAAGGAAAATGTACAGGAGGGGATCGGCAGAGGTAGCATTTAGTTAGTAAATAAGGTCTTGAATTAGTCTTGTTCATCCAGTCAAAACAGGGCATATTCTAGGACGCATTCAGAAATTTAGGAATAGAGCCTACTATCTGTAAAAGGAGACTGCCGAAAAAATGAAATGCATGGCAGAGCAATAGCAGGGAACCGAAAGAAACAAGCTATAGGACAGTGTTGATAACCAGGCATTTTAGGTACCAATTCTGCATCCTTCACTCATGCTGAACAGCAGTCAGACATGGATGCAGCTAAAGAAATGGTGAGCTCTCCTTCCCCTCTCTCTCCTTTCCTAATATTAATGTCGGCCAGGGTCATGTGCATATTGTGGGCCATTTGGTGCATTTGTAGCCATCTCATTATACAGACCTCTCATAAATATGGCAGCTGTGGTACACTTCCATTATCTTTTTAGTTTGGACTACAAATGCACTTATGAGGCAAATCTCCAGACCATTCCCACTTACCATGCTTGGACTCCTGTTGTTCAGTAGTCTGGGACTGCATGATGGCACTAAATGGGAATATATGCTCCCAGAGTTCACCTAATGGTGCTCCGACTGCAAAAGACCCACAGCCCAAGAGAGCAGAGCTCTCAAGTACCACCCCCACGAAGTGCGCAGCGTGGTGTCGGGTCCTCAGGACCAACTGCTTCATGCTGTAGATTTGATTCTATTGCCCTTCACTAAATACAGGTTGTGTCCCAACCTGTCCTTGAATTTTGTTCCAATGAATACACTAAGTTCAAAGGAAAAAAATTATTAATAAGTTACTCAATTTAAGAGCTAAAAATCATGCTCTTTATATAAAGATATCCTTATTTAGCCTTACACAAAATCCTTGGAGAGGTAAAGGCCTTGGGTCTAATACTGACATTTTGGCTAGACAATCTAAAATTATCAAATGCCGCAGAGGACATTTGACTCCAGAGGAAAAGACAGTAAGAGGAAAGACAGAAAACGTGTAACAGCATCGGAGTGCTGCGATCTGTTAAACAGAAAAAAATCCTTAATGCTTATAATTTTCCCTCCTTTCTGTTTGACACTTTACTATCTTAAAAAAGGATCTGAATAGAGGGAAGGTCAAGAAAGAAGAGACGAGATTAATAACAAAATAAAGACTGCCGTACCAAGAAAGCCATCCGTTCACTGATCACTCTCACATAGACAAGAACAGCCCCACTTAAAACAGGGCTGACAGCAAAGGACTATCAGATGATGGCAGATTCCATATTATTCTACAAAGGAGGCCATTGCCACGTCAGAATTGATAAATATTAATAACCTGTGTTTCAGAAGGGGCATGATACTTAAACAGGAAGCTGCAATTGCCAAATTGTTGTATGTGAAGTGCATCACATTAATCTAAAGCTGTGCTAGCTGTGCGAGCCTGAACATGGAGAGCATGAGTTTTCATTTATTAAACTGTAGTTTTATCTTAGCTTTTTTGCACTTACCGCTTCTAATCAGGGAGAAAAGATAATATATATAGCCCTATTTACAAATTCTGTATAGAA